TAAAACAACAACTACTAAAGACCTTCACTGACCTATACTAAACATTATGACAATAAAACAAGAACTACTAAAGACCTTCACTGACCTATACTAGACTTACTGACAATAAAACAAGAACTACTAAAGACCTTCACTGACCTATACTAGACCTAATGACAATAAAACAAGAACTACTAAAGACCTTCACTGACCTATACTTGACCTACTGACTCAATAAAACAAGAACTACTAAAGACCTTCACTGACCTATACGAGATCTACTGACAATAAAACAAGAACTACTAAAGACCTTCACTGACCTATACTAGACATTATGACAATAAAACAAGAACTACTAAAGACCTTCACTGACCTTTACTAGACTTACTGACAATAAAACAAGAACTACCAAAGACCTTCACTGACCTATACTAGACCTAATGACAATAAAACAAGAACTACTAAAGGCCTTCACTGACCTATACTTGACCTACTGACTCAATAAAACAAGAACTACTAAAGACCTTCACTGACCTATACTAGACCTACTGACAATAAAACAAGAACTACTAAAGACCTTCACTGACCTATACTAGACATTATGACAATAAAACAAGAACTACTAAAGACCTTCACTGACCTTTACTAGACTTACTGACAATAAAACAACAACTACTAAAGACCTTCACTGACCTATACTAGACATTATGACAATAAAACAAGAACTACTAAAGACCTTCACTGACCTATACTAGACTTACTGACAATAAAACAAGAACTACTAAAGACCTTCACTGACCTTTACTAGACCTTATGACAATAAAACAAGAACTACTAAAGACCTTCACTGACCTATACTTGACCTACTGACTCAATAAAACAAGAACTACTAAAGACCTTCACTGACCTATACTAGACCTAATGACAATAAAACAAGAACTACTAAAGACCTTAACTGACCTTTACTAGACTTACTGACAATAAAACAAGAACTACTAAAGACCTTCACTGACCTATACTAGACTTACTGACAATAAAACAAGAACTACTAAAGACCTTCACTGACCTATACTTGACCTACTGACTCAATAAAACAAGAACTACTAAAGACCTTCACTGACCTATACTAGACCTACTGACAATAAAACAAGAACTACTAAAGACCTTCACTGACCTATACTAGACCTACTGACAATAAAACAAGAACTACTAAAGACCTTCACTGACCTATACTAGACCTACTGACTCAATAAAACAAGAACTACTAAAGACCTTCACTGACCTATACTGGACCTACTGTCAATAAAACAAGAACTACTAAAGACCTTCACTGACCTATACTTGACCTACTGACTCAATAAAACAAGAACTACTAAAGACCTTCACTGACCTATACTAGACCTACTGACAATAAAACAAGAACTACTAAAGACCTTCACTGACCTATACTAGACATTATGACAATAAAACAAGAACTACTAAAGACCTTCACTGACCTTTACTAGACTTACTGACAAAAAACAAGAACTACTAAAGACCTTCACTGACCTTTACTAGACCTTATGACAATAAAACAAGAACTACTAAAGACCTTCACTGACCTTTACTAGACTTACTGACAATAAAACAACAACTACTAAAGACCTTCACTGACCTATACTAGACATTATGACAATAAAACAAGAACTACTAAAGACCTTCACTGACCTATACTAGACTTACTGACAATAAAACAAGAACTACTAAAGACCTTCACTGACCTTTACTAGACCTTATGACAATAAAACAAGAACTACTAAAGACCTTCACTGACCTATACTTGACCTACTGACTCAATAAAACAAGAACTACTAAAGACCTTCACTGACCTTTACTAGACCTTATGACAATAAAACAAGAACTACTAAAGACCTTCACTGACCTATACTTGACCTACTGACTCAATAAAACAAGAACTACTAAAGACCTTCACTGACCTATACTAGACCTAATGACAATAAAACAAGAACTACTAAAGACCTTCACTGACCTTTACTAGACTTACTGACAATAAAACAAGAACTACTAAAGACCTTCACTGACCTATACTAGACTTACTGACAATAAAACAAGAACTACTAAAGACCTTCACTGACCTATACTTGACCTACTGACTCAATAAAACAAGAACTACTAAAGACCTTCACTGACCTATACTAGACCTACTGACAATAAAACAAGAACTACTAAAGACCTTCACTGACCTATACTAGACCTACTGACAATAAAACAAGAACTACTAAAGACCTTCACTGACCTATACTAGACCTACTGACTCAATAAAACAAGAACTACTAAAGACCTTCACTGACCTATACTGGACCTACTGTCAATAAAACAAGAACTACTAAAGACCTTCACTGACCTATACTGGACCTACTGTCAATAAAACAAGAACTACTAAAGACCTTCACTGACCTATACTAGACCTACTGACTCAATAAAACAAGAACTACTAAAGACCTTCAGTGACCGTTACTATACTTACTGACAATAAAACAAGAACTACTAAAGACCTTCACTGACCTATACTAGACCTACTGACTCAATAAAACAAGAACTACTAAAGACCTTCACTGACCTATACTGGACCTACTGTCAATAAAACAAGAACTACTAAAGACCTTCACTGACCTATACTGGACCTACTGTCAATAAAACAAGAACTACTAAAGACCTTCACTGAACTATACTAGACCTACTGACTCAATAAATACAAGCTTTAAAAAAGTTGATGAAGCCTCGGTGACCAGCTTTGTACTAATGGTCAAACAAGACAGCAATATCCGCCGGTCCCTGATTGGACATGAATATTCATGAGTATCCAGCTGACACCGAGATGGCCACTGGCCAGTCTTAGTGGCCTCTTAATTAACAGCTGCTCTCGTCTGGTTACCATGGGCTCACGTCTGCCAGGCTATTTTTAGAACTCGCAAGTTACTGCCGCGTCACAAACATCTTCACATACAAACATCACAAACATCTTCACATACAAACATCACAAACATCTTCACATACAAACATCACAAACATCTTCACATACAAACATCACAAACATCTTCACATACAAACATCACAAACATCTTCATAAGTTTCATATAAACATGGCCGTATACATGTTTGAAAAAGATTTAGTTTTTTTTTTTAATTCTAATTTTCCATATCGCGTCTTTACATTTCATATTTTTCTAGTTTAAATCCCACTGATGATCAATAATTCATTTAGAGCCAAATCGATTTTAGAATTTTTTTATCAAATTGAATCATTCAAAGGTTATGTGGTATTCCATAATCAAATTCTATGGCACACCGTATATGCCAAATGTACGATTTGCGTTGGACAGGAGCAGATCATTCTATAGCACACATCTAGTTGGTGAGAGTGTCTATAGGCTAATTTGGTGAGAGTGTCTATAGGCTAATTTGGTGAGAGTGTCTATAGGCTAATTTGGTGAGAGTGTCTATAGGCTAATTTGGTGAGAGTGTCTATAGGCTAATTTGGTGAGAGTGTCTATAGCCTAATTTGGTGAGTGTCTATAGCCTTATTTGGTGAGAGTGTCTATAGGCTAATGTGGTGAGAGTGTCTATAGCCTAATTTGGTGAGAATGTCTATAGGCTAATTTGGTGAGAGTGTCTATAGCCTTATTTGGTGAGAGTGTCTATAGGCTAATGTGGTGAGAGTGTCTTTAGGCTAATTTGGTGAGAGTGTCTATAGGCTAATGTGGTGAGAGTGTCTATAGCCTAATTTGGTGAGAATGTCTATAAGCTAATTTGGTGAGAGTGTCTATAGGCTACTTTGGTGAGAGTGTCTATAGCCTAATTTGGTGAGAGTGTCTATAGGCTAATTTGGTGAGAATGTCTATAGGCTAATTTGGTGAGAGTGTCTATAGCCTAATTTGGTGAGAGTGTCTATAGCCTTATTTGGTGAGAGTGTCTACAGGCTAATGTGGTGAGAGTGTCTTTAGGCTAATTTGGTGAGAGTGTCTATAGGCTAATGTGGTGAGAGTGTCTACAGGCTAATGTGGTGAGAGTGTCTACAGGCTAATTTGGTGAGAGTGTCTATAGCCTAATTTGGTGAGAGTGTCTATAGGCTAATTTGGTGGTAGTGTCTATAGCCTAATTTGGTGAGAGTGTCTATAGGCTAATTTGGTGAGAGTATCTTTAGGCTAATTTGGTGAGAGTGTCTATAGGCTAATTTGGTGAGAGTGTATATAGGCTAATTTGGTGAGAGTGTCTATAGGCTAATTTGGTGAGAGTGTCTAGAGGCTAATTTGGTGAGAGTGTCTATAGGCTAATTTGGTGAGAGTGTCTATAGGCTAATTTGGTGAGAGTGTATATAGGCTAATTTGGTGAGAGTATCTATAGGCTAATTTGGTGAGAGTGTCTATAGGCTAAATTGGTGAAAGTGTCTATAGGCTAATTTGGTGAGAGTGTCTATAGGCTAATGTGGTGAGAGTGTCTTTAGGCTAATTTGGTGAGAGTGTCTATAGCCTAATTTGGTGAGAGTGTCTATAGGCTAATGTGGTGAGAGTGTCTACAGGCTAATTTGGTGAGAGTGTCTACAGGCTAATTTGGTGAGAGTGTCTATAGGCTAATTTGGTGAGAGTGTCTATAGCCTAATTTGGTGAGAGTGTCTATAGGCTAATGTGGTGAGAGTATCTACAGGCTAATTTGGTGAGAGTGTCTATAGCCTAATTTGGTGAGAGTGTCTATAGCCTAATTTGGTGAGAGTGTCTATAGGCTAATGTGGTGAGAGTGTCTTTAGGCTAATTTTGTGAGAGTGTCTATAGGCTAATTTGGTGAGAGTGTCTATAGCCTAATTTGGTGAGAGTGTCTATAGGCTAATTTGGTGAGAGTGTCTATAGGCTAATTTGGTGAGAGTGTCTATAGGTTAATTTGGTGAGAGTGTCTATAGGCTAATTTGGTGACAAATTGTTCAACAGCTACCATATAGATAGACGATAAAAAGAAATGAAACTTACCAAAATCTCGTTTGCAAAATTTTTGCATCGTCAACTTTTTCACTCGTTTCTGACAGTTGCCGCAGTCGTCTGTTTCTTCGTCTGCTGAGAGAGAAAAGATCAGGTTGTGTTTGGTCGGTGACGTGTTTGGTCGGTGACGTGTTTGGTCGGTGACGTGTTTGGTCGGTGACGTGTTTGGTTGGTGACGTGTTTGGTTGGTGACGTGTTTGGTCGGTGACGTGTTTGGTCGGTGACGTGTTTGAGAGGTAGTGTGGGAGTAGAGTGGAGAGCGTGTGATTATGGGAGTAGAGTGGGAGGGAAACGGTTTGCACTCAATGACCCAGCTAGTCATGTGTGACGGCCGCCATTGTAAGCCGGTGAGTACTGACGTGATCACGTGACCAGGTAATTGTTTAATTAAAGCTCGGGGTGATTGATCTATCCATCGATTATTGATATCTGTGTCAGCTGACTTGACAGTGTCACTGTGAAGTGTCAGCGTCATCAAAACTTTCAGCGCCCTAATTCGGTGTCCTAGCTAGCTACGCCCTACGGGGGTGTCGTAGCGAGCTGCGCCCTACATGGGTGTCGTAGCGAGTGGCGCCCTACATGGGTGTCGTAGCGAGTGGCGCCCTACGGGGGTGTCGTAGCGAGCTGCGCCCTACATGGGTGTCGTAGCGAGCTGCGCCCTACATGGGTGTCGTAGCGAGTGGCGCCCTACATGGGTGTCCTAGCGAGCTGCGCCCTACATGGGTGTCGTAGCGAGTGGCGCCCTACGGGGGTGTCGTAGCGAGCTGCGCCCTACATGGGTGTCGTAGCGAGTGGCGCCCTACATGGGTGTCCTAGCGAGTGGCGCCATACATGGGTGTCGTAGCGAGTGGCGCCCTACATGGGTGTCCTAGCGAGTGGCGCCATACATGGGTGTCGTAGCGAGTGGCGCCCTACATGGGTGTCGTAGCGAGTGGCGCCCTACATGGGTGTCGTAGCGAGTGGCGCCCTACATGGGTGTCCTAGCGAGTGGCGCCCTACATGGGTGTCGTACCGAGTGGCGCCCTACATGGGTGTCGTAGCGAGTGGCGCCCTACATGGGTGTCGTAGCGAGTGGCGCCCTACATGGGTGTCGTAGCGAGTGGCGCCCTACATGGGTGTCGTAGCGAGTGGCGCCCTACATGGGTGTCGTAGCGAGTGGCGCCCTACATGGGTGTCGTAGCGAGTGGCGCCCTACATGGGTGTCCTAGCGAGTGGCGCCCTACATGGGTGTCGTAGCGAGTGGCGCCCTACATGGGTGTCGTAGCGAGTGGCGCCCTACATGGGTGTCATAGCGAGTGGCGCCCTACATGGGTGTCCTAGCGAGTGGCGCCCTACATGGGTGTCGTAGCGAGTGGCGCCCTACATGGGTGTCCTAGCGAGTGGCGCCCTACATGGGTGTCGTAGCGAGCTGCGCCCTACAACAAAAGAAACTGAGGCGGTGACGAAACACGGAGCTTCACACCTGGGTGGCTCGCACGGGCCGTTGATCCGGTCTATCACGTGATGGCCCTATTTACCCGGGTCATTGATCCAGTCAGTCACGTGACGGCCGCGGGTTCTGATTAAAATTCACCCAGCGCCAAACATCGCTTTAGAAACTTTGGACAGGGTGCCGGAAATTTCCGGCAATACATCTTTTATTTGTGTCAATGTCCCTGGGACTTTGACGGCTTGTCCAGCTTGATTACAGCGAGCGCGCTAAAACATGTGTAGCCGGGAACTCGGGGACTCTGCTGTGTAACCGGGAACAGCGTGCCATCGGGTGAGGGAACAGGTGAGGGAACAGCGTGCCATGAGGTGAGGGAACAGGTGAGGGAACAGCGTGCCTTCAGGTGAGGGGTGTATCTACCACAGCCAGCAAACGCCGAAGAAAGCACTTAGCCCCTTTTGACTTGGCAGTGCAAGCTGTTTTTTCAATCCGTGAAAAGCAAACAGAGAAAAGTGAAGCGAAAGGCAGCGCGCGCAGTCGACGTCACAGGTCACGTGCTGGGAGCTGCGAGCCCGCTGCTGCTTTACACGAGGGAATGGTCCGGTAGTGGGACGAGGGAATGGCCCGGTAGTGGGACGAGGGAATGGCCCGGTAGTGGGACGAGGGAATGGCCCGGTAGTGGGACGAGGGAATGGCCCGGTAGTGGGACGAGGGAATGGCCCGGTAGTGGGACGAGGGAATGGCCCGGTAGTGGTACGAGGGAATGGCCCGGTAGTGGGACGAGGGAATGGCCCGGTAGTGGGACGAGGGAATGGCCCGGTAGTGGTACGAGGGAATGGCCCGGTAGTGGGACGAGGGAATGGCCCGGTAGTGGGACGAGGGAATGGCCCGGTAGTGGGACGAGGGAATGGCCCGGTAGTGGGACGAGGGAATGGCCCGGTAGTGGGACGAGGGAATGGCCCGGTAGTGGGACGAGGGAATGGCCCGGTAGTGGGACGAGGGAATGGCCCGGTAGTGGGACGAGGGAATGGCCCGGTAGTGGGACGAGGGAATGGCCCGGTAGTGGGACGAGGGAATGGCCCGGTAGTGGGACGAGGGAATGGCCCGGTAGTGGGACGAGGGAATGGCCCGGTAGTGGTACGAGGGAATGGCCCGGTAGTGGGACGAGGGAATGGCCCGGTAGTGGGACGAGGGAATGGCCCGGTAGTGGGACGAGGGAATGGCCCGGTAGTGGGACGAGGGAATGGCCCGGTAGTGGTACGAGGGAATGGCCCGGTAGTGGGACGAGGGAATGGCCCGGTAGTGGGACGAGGGAATGGCCCGGTAGTGGTACGAGGGAATGGCCCGGTAGTGGGACGAGGGAATGGCCCGGTAGTGGGACGAGGGAATGGCCCGGTAGTGGGACGAGGGAATGGCCCGGTAGTGGGACGAGGGAATGGCCCGGTAGTGGGACGAGGGAATGGCCCGGTGGTGGTACGAGGGAATGGCCCGGTGGTGGGACGAGGGAATGGCCCGGTAGTGGGACGAGGGAATGGCCCGGTAGTGGGACGAGGGAATGGCCCGGTAGTGGGACGAGGGAATGGCCCGGTAGTGGGACGAGGGAATGGCCCGGTAGTGGGACGAGGGAATGGCCCGGTAGTGGGACGAGGGAATGGCCCGGTAGTGGGACGATGGAATGGCCCGGTAGTGGGACGAGGGAATGGCCCGGTAGTGGGACGAGGGAATGGCCCGGTAGTGGTACGAGGGAATGGCCCGGTAGTGGGACGAGGGAATGGCCCGGTAGTGGGACGAGGGAATGGCCCGGTAGTGGTACGAGGGAATGGCCCGGTAGTGGGACGAGGGAATGGCCCGGTGGTGGGACGAGGGAATGGCCCGGTGGTGGTACGAGGGAATGGCCCGGTGGTGGGACGAGGGAATGGCCCGGTAGTGGGACGAGGGAATGGCCCGGTAGTGGGACGAGGGAATGGCCCGGTAGTGGGACGAGGGAATGGCCCGGTAGTGGGACGAGGGAATGGCCCGGTAGTGGGACGAGGGAATGGCCCGGTAGTGGGACGAGGGAATGGCCCGGTAGTGGGACGAGGGAATGGCCCGGTAGTGGGACGAGGGAATGGCCCGGTAGTGGGACGAGGGAATGGCCCGGTAGTGGGACGAGGGAATGGCCCGGTAGTGGGACGAGGGAATGGCCCGGTAGTGGGACGAGGGAATGGCCCGGTAGTGGGACGAGGGAATGGCCCGGTAGTGGTACGAGGGAATGGCCCGGTAGTGGGACGAGGGAATGGCCCGGTAGTGGGACGAGGGAATGGCCCGGTAGTGGGACGAGGGAATGGCCCGGTAGTGGGACGATGGAATGGCCCGGTAGTGGGACGAGGGAATGGCCCGGTAGTGGGACGAGGGAATGGCCCGGTAGTGGGACGAGGGAATGGCCCGGTAGTGGGACGAGGGAATGGCCCGGTAGTGGGACGAGGGAATGGCCCGGTAGTGGGACGAGGGAATGGCCCGGTATTGTGTGTGGACCTACTGTCTGTGGTCCTGGTTCCTTTTTTTTCTTTTTTTTTTTTTGTAGTTCAAAGTTCATTGCGCGGCTCGGAAGATTGTTGTAGAAGACTGGCATGTTTATGAGACGAGACAAATAATCACTTGCTGGAACTTCCGAGGGCGGGCAGGCACTTGCTGGAATGTGAACTTCCGAGGGGGGCGGGCAGGCACTTGCTGGGGGGCCAGGAAATGGATGTCCGTGTGACGCTGTTACCAGTCATCAAATGGCGTTTATCACCGGATAAAGACGGTCCGGTCAAATTTATCGTCGGATCGACGGCTCGGGGCCGGCTCTTGTATCAGCTAGCTCAGGCAGGCGAGCCGTGCCAAATGATATCGTTAGCCGGACGCCGGTCATCTCTCGGCCCCAGCAATCGTCAGGTGTATGGATCACGTGATTTTATGTGACACACCTGCCCCGACCCACCCCACCCCCGCATCAACAGCTACGATTTCGGCAGGATGGCATAAGGAAGTTTCAAAGTTGAAAGAATATGTCCAGTAGAGACCTTGGTGTGGTCCACCAAATGTCCCACAAACATCCACCAAATATCCCACAAATATCCACCAAATGTCCCACAAACATCCACCAAATATCCACCAAAGATCCACCAAATTACTACAATGTCCCAACAAACATCCACCAAATATCCACCAAGTATCATTCTATTGGGTTCGGGAATAACTTCATCAAGCTTAAAAAAAAAATCTTTGATCCCATTCATTTTTCCAGCGTCAATCACCTCACAGACAGCCCAGACCCCCGCCCTGCCACCCCCACCCCAGTAAAACACGATGCTTGAGTCGTCTGCTGGGGGTGGTCTAGTGAGTGTCAGAACAGGTGAAGGCATCCGTCTTGTTTGTTGGCAGTGTGGTGGGGTGGGGTGGTGGGGTGGGGTGGTTGGTGTGGTGTGGTGGGGTGGTTGGTGTGGTGGGGTGGTTGGTGTGGTGGGGTGGGTGGTTGGTGTATGGAGTTGTGGTGGGGTGGTTGGTGTATGGAGGGTGTGGTGGGGTGGTTGGTGTGGTGGGGTGGGGTGGTTGGTGTGGTGGGGTGGTTGGTGTATGGAGTTTTGGTGGGGTGGTTGGTGTATAGAGGGTGTGGTGGGGTGGTTGGTGTATGGAGGGTGTGGTGGGTTGGTTGGTGTGGTTGGTGTGGTGGGGTGGTTGGTGGGGTGGGGTGGGTTGAACAAGACGGGGAGGTGAATACTGGCAAGTCCCGTAACTTCTTGCTAGCTGTTTGTCATAACCCAGCCTCGCGTCTGCCCATCTGCCTTCTAAATTTACCAAGACATCGGAAAATTTTGTAAAGTTCCGTAAAGACATCGGAAAATTCCGTAAAGTTTGAACAATCATGAGTGGGTTTTACCGATGATATGTTCAGGATGGCTAGAGGACATAACTCCCCCCCCCCCCCCGTATTTACTCCTCGGAGTAATTACCCCCTGTCAATTACCCTCCTTTGAAATTACCCCCCCCCCACAACTCAAGTTAGAATCCTAACTTTAACTCAAATTCGATACCTATATCTATATGTTACCTTAATCCTAACCTTAAGAAAAAGATCAAAACCTAAGCATTCACCTTAGCCTAAAATTTAACACATAACCAAAACCAACTCTAGACATTGTTTTAAGCCTAACCTTGACCATAACACTAATCCTAACCCTAGCTGTACCTTAAGCTGTCTCTAGGGGGGGGGGGGGTAGTTGACAGTGGAGTAAGTACGGGGTAATGGTCACTGACCAGCAGGTCTTAGATTTCCTTAGGTCACTGACCAGCAGGTCTTAGATTTCCTTAGGTCACTGACCAGCAGGTCTTAGATTTCCTTAGGTCACTGACCAGCAGGTCTTAGATTTCCTTAGGTCACTGACCAGCAGGTCTTAGACTTCCTTAGGTCACTGACCAGCAGGTCTTAGATTTCCTTAGGTCACTGACCAGCAGGTCTTAGATTTCCTTAGGTCACTGACCAGCAGAACTTACCTTCAGATTTCCTGGCTTCGTTCATGCTTGTCTTGGGAATCCCTGCCGGAGAGAAAACAAAATGGTTGATGGAGGGGTCAAGGTCAGCCTGGTGGAGGGTCAAGGTCAGCCTGGCGGAGGGAGCTAAGTCTATAGCTAACCATATGCTGGCTAACTAGGTTAAACTGGCTAAATTAACTAGGTTGGCTAAATAGACTAGGTTGGCTAAATAGATCAGGATGGCTAAATAGATTAGGTTCACTAAATAGATTATGTTGGCTATATGGATTAGGTTGGCTAAATAGGTTGGCTAAATAGATTAGGTTGGCTAAGTAGATTAGGTAGGCTAAATAGATTAGGTTGGCTAAATAGATTAGCCTGGCTCAAAAGATTAGCCTCACTAAATAGACTAGGTTGGCTAAATAGACTAGGTTGGCTAAATAGATTAGGTTGGCTAAATAGATTAAGTTGGCTAAATAGACTACGCTTGGTAAATATATTAGGTTGGCTAAATAGACTAGGTTGGCTAAATTAGATTGGCTAAATAAATTAGGTTGGCTAAATAGACTAGCCTGGCTAAATAGATTAGGTTGGCTAAATAGATTAAGTTGGCTAAATAGACTACGCTTGGTAAATATATTAGGTTGGCTAAATAGATTAGGTTGGCTAAATAGACTAGCCTGGCTAAATAGATTAGGTTGGCTAAATAGATTAAGTTGGCTAAATAGATTAGGTTGGCTAAATAGATTAGGTTGGCTAAATAGATTAGGTTGGCTAAATAGACTAGCCTGGCTAAATAGATTAGGTTGGCTAAATAGATTAGGTTGGCTAAATAGATTAGGTTGGCTAAATAGATTAGGTTGGCTAAATAGATTAGGTTGGCTAAATAGACTAGCCTGGCTAAATAGATTAGGTTGGCTAAATAGATTAGGTTGGCTAAATAGATTAGGTTGGCTAAATAGACTAGCCTGGCTAAATAGACTAGACTGGCTAAATAGATTAGGTTGGCTAAATAGATTAGGTTGGCTAAATAGATTAGGTTGGCTAAATAGACTAGCCTGGCTAAATAGATTAGGTTGGCTAAATAGATTAGGTTGGCTAAATAGATTAGGTTGGCTAAATAGATTAGGTTGGCTAAATAGATTAGGTTGGCTAAATAGATTAGGTTGGTTAAATAGATTAGCCTGGCTAAATAGACTAGCCTGGCTAAATAGATTAGGTTGGCTAAATAGATTAGGTTGGCTAAATAGATTAGGTTGGCTAAATAGATTAGGTTGGCTAAATAGACTAGCCTGGCTAAATAGATTAGGTTGGCTAAATAGATTAGGTTGGCTAAATAGATTAGGTTGGCTAAATAGATTAGGTTGGCTAAATAGATTAGGTTGGCTAAATAGATTAGGTTGGCTAAATAGACTAGCCTGGCTAAATAGATTAGGTTGGCTAAATAGATTAGGTTGGCTAAATAGATTAAGTTGGCTAAATAGACTACGCTTGGTAAATATATTAGGTTGGCTAAATAGATTAGGTTGGCTAAATAGACTAGCCTGGCTAAATAGATTAGGTTGGCTAAATAGATTAAGTTGGCTAAATAGATTAGGTTGGCTAAATAGATTAGGTTGGCTAAATAGATTAGGTTGGCTAAATAGACTAGCCTGGCTAAATAGATTAGGTTGGCTAAATAGATTAGGTTGGCTAAATAGATTAGGTTGGCTAAATAGATTAGGTTGGCTAAATAGATTAGGTTGGCTAAATAGACTAGCCTGGCTAAATAGATTAGGTTGGCTAAATAGATTAGGTTGGCTAAATAGATTAGGTTGGCTAAATAGACTAGCCTGGCTAAATAGACTAGCCTGGCTAAATAGATTAGGTTGGCTAAATAGATTAGGTTGGCTAAATAGATTAGGTTGGCTAAATAGATTAGGTTGGCTAAATAGATTAGGTTGGCTAAATAGATTAGGTTGGTTAAATAGATTAGCCTGGCTAAATAGACTAGCCTGGCTAAATAGATTAGGTTGGCTAAATAGATTAGGTTGGCTAAATAGATTAGGTTGGCTAAATAGATTAGGTTGGCTAAATAGACTAGCCTGGCTAAATAGATTAGGTTGGCTAAATAGATTAGGTTGGCTAAATAGATTAGGTTGGCTAAATAGATTAGGTTGGCTAAATAGATTAGGTTGGCTAAATAGATTAGGTTGGTTAAATAGATTAGCCTGGCTAAATAGACTAGCCTGGCTAAATAGATTAGGTTGGCTAAATAGATTAGGTTGGCTAAATAGATTAGGTTGGCTAAATAGATTAGGTTGGCTAAATAGACTAGCCTGGCTAAATAGATTAGGTTGGCTAAATAGATTAGGTTGGCTAAATAGATTAGGTTGGCTAAATAGATTAGGTTGGCTAAATAGACTAGCCTGGCTAAATAGATTAGGTTGGCTAAATAGATTAGGTTGGCTAAATAGATTAGGTTGGCTAAATAGATTAGGTTGGCTAAATAGATTAGGTTGGCTAAATAGACTAGCCTGGCTAAATAGACTAGCCTGGCTAAATAGATTAGGTTGGCTAAATAGATTAGGTTGGCTAAATAGATTAGGTTGGCTAAATAGATTAGGTTGGCTAAATAGACTAGCCTGGCTAAATAGATTAGGTTGGCTAAATAGATTAGGTTGGCTAAATAGATTAGGTTGGCTAAATAGATTAGGTTGGCTAAATAGACTAGCCTGGCTAAATAGACTAGCCTGGCTAAATAGATTAGGTTGGCTAAATAGATTAGGTTGGCTAAATAGATTAGGTTGGCTAAATAGATTAGGTTGGCTAAATAGATTAGGTTGGCTAAATAGACTAGCCTGGCTAAATAGACTAGCCTGGCTAAATAGATTAGGTTGGCTAAATAGATTAGGTTGGCTAAATAGATTAGGTTGGCTAAATAGATTAGGTTGGCTAAATAGACTAGCCTGGCTAAATAGATTAGGTTGGCTAAATAGACTAGGTTGGCTAAATAGATTAGGTTGGCTAAATAGACTAGGTTGGCTAAATAGATTAGGTTGGCTAAATAGACTAGGTTGGCTAAATAGATTAGGTTGGCTAAATAGACTAGCCTGGCTAAATAGACTTATTAGACTTGGCACACTTGTCACGTGACCCTGGTCTGGTGACCCCTGAACCCAGAGGTCAACTGACAGAAGCCAGAAGGTCAAGGTGATTTCAACGTGCGTGATTACAACATGACATGCATCAGCCTACCCAGTGGGTCCCGCTAGCTAATGGGTGCCGCTAGCAAATGGGTCCCTCTAGCTAGTGGATCCCACTAGCAAACGGGTCCCGTTAAAAATGGGTCCCGTTAGTAAATGGGTCCTGCGCCTGTCACCCGCATGCTAGCAGCATGCCGTTTAAATAAAATGGGTCCCGTTAGGGCGGGGGTTGGGTGGGGTGATGGGGGTTGTGGTCACATAACATTGGGGGGGGGGGAGGTTGTGAATATAATATATATTTGGGGGGGGGTGTGAATATAATATATATGTGGGGGTTGTGATTATAATATATGTGGGGGAGGGGAGAGGTTGTGATCATAATATATTTGTGTGGGGGGGAGAGGTTGTGATCATAATATATTTGTGGGGGGAGAGGTTGTGATCATAATATATTTGTGTGGGGGGGAGAGGTTGTGATCATAACATATTTGTGGGGGGAGAGGTTGTGATCATAATATATTTGTGGGGGGAGAGGTTGTGGTGGTAGAAGGGTGGGGTTGGCCTGCTGGGGTGGTGGTAGGGTGGGGTTGGGGGGTAGTAGGGTGGGGTTGGGGTGGTAGTAGGGTGGGGTTGGGGTGGTAGTAGGGTGGGGTTGGGGTGGTAGTAGGGTGGGGTTGGGGTGGTAGTAGGGTGGAGTTGGGGTGGTAGTAGGGTAGGGTTGGGGTGGTAGTAGGGTGGGGTTGGGGTGGTAGTAGGGTGGGGTTGGGGTGGTAGTAGGGTGGGGTTGGCCTGTTGGGGTGGTAGTAGGGTGGGGTTGGGGTGGTAGTAGGGTGGGGTTGGGGTGGTAGTAGGGTGGAGTTGGCCTGTTGGGGTGGTAGTAGGGTGGGGATGGGGTGGTAGTAGGTTGGGGTTGGGGTGGTAGGGTGAGGGACGGTGGAGCGGATACGTAGGATTAAAGAAAGTTGTTAAGCAGGAGATTGGCTGTGTCTAGACAGGAGAATGTTAATGAAGACTGGAACAAAGACACGTCTGTCTTGACACAGGGGAGTTAATGCTTTCGGTCAACGTTTGTCTGGAGCAGGTAGAGATGGGTTGCTGCCCTTGTCATGCACGTGATTAGTGACAACATGGAGGTGACCTGGCTGCCTCGTGTCCGCGTGGTTGCCATGGTGACCCGAGACTCGTACCTCCGTCGCTCTGTTCGGGCTGGAATCGGTGACCTTGACCCCTGGCTTCACCCGCAGGATTTCCTGCTTTTCTGAAAATGTGACGTCACAACACAACAGATGAAAATGTCCCCACACCCCAGGCGCTGATGACGTCACAGGACAACAGACGAGGGAGGGAAACAGTTCTAGCAGTCAGAAAACAGGAAACAGTTCTAGCAGTCAGAAAACAGGAAACAGTTCTAGCAGTCAGAAAACAGGAAACAGTTCTAGCAGTCAGAAAAAAGAGAGAGAGCAAGAGACGACACAAAACTTGTGTGCCCTAAATGTTAGAGCCTGGCGGGACCTGGAGAAGATGGACTTAATGTCTCGTCTTGATTAGATTGGCAAAAAATAAGCAGACACAAACTGAAGAAGCTGAACATAAATTAACAACAACACAGAGCTAAGCGGCTACAAGAGCGGTGTGTGGACCCTAGGGGCGTGACGTGAGGGTGACGTGAGGGTGACGTGAGGGTGACGTGAGGGTGACTTACTGACGCAGGGGGCGATGGGTGAGGTCGTCTGCTTGTAGCCCTTGGCGCATCTGTTGCAGGTGAGGCCCAGCACGCCGTCCTTGCAGGGGCACTGGCCCGTCGTCTGGTTGCAGGTCTTGCCCAGGGCCCCCACGGGGTGGCACCCACAGGCTGAAATACAGGGGGGAGGGTGAGGTCACATCAACACTGGGGTCGGGGGGAGGTTGAGGTCACGTCATCACTGGGGTCGGGGGGAGGGGGAGTTATGCTGTTACGTCATCACTCGGGTTGCGTCACAATAAAACAGAGTGGGGGGGGGGGGCATAAAAATGTAACAAAAATAGCGACCATTCTGCATCGAAGGGTCGAACACTGTAGAACTAAATGGTTGTCGGTTGCTTAAATCATCTTTTTATGTACAGAGTCATTTCAATTTCAATCCATTATTGTGTATAAATTCATTTTAATTTCAAGCAATTTTTGAGCACAAAATCATTTAAATTTCAATCAATTTTTGTGTTAAAATCATTTAAATTTCACTCAATTTTTGTGTTCAAAATCGTTTAAATTTCAATCAATTTTTGTGTTAAAATCATTTAAATTTCACTCAATTTTTGTGTTCAAAATCGTTTAAATTTCAATCAATTTTTGTGTTAAAAATCATTTAAATTTCACTCAATTTTTGTGTTCAAAATCGTTTAAATTTCAATCAATTTTTGTGTACAACATCATTTAAATTTCACTCAATTTTTGTATTCAAAATCATTTAAATTTCAATCAATTTTTGTGTTAAAAATCATTTAAATTTCAATCAATTTTTGTGTTAAAAATCATTTAAATTTCAATCAATTTTTCTGTTCAAAATCATTTGACATAATGTTAGAAGAACACATCGTTAGGTCATAAACATGCTAATGTTAGAAAACTGTCACAAACATGATAGTGTATGAAAAAATGTCACAAACATGCTAATGTTAGAAAACTGTCACAAACATGCTCATGTTAGAAAACTGTCACAAACATGATATTGTATGAAAAAATGTCACAAACATGCCGTGAAATGAAGCTGACAGACGATATAGGGTTGTGTAAGTGGTCCAATACCCGGTTGTGTTGTTGCCAAATCATTGCTATTAATCCCTGTGCTACTGACCCATGTGCTATTAATCCCGGTGCTACTGATCCCTATGTTGTTGACATCTGACAAAGCACCAGCATAGCGGCGGGTGGGGTGACAGCCTCCCCTCCCCCACCCCACGTTGCTAGAAGGATCTAGATTGTGAACTTGTATCAGACGTGTTAGAAGGATCTAGATTGTGAACTTGTATCAGACGTGTTAGAAGGATCTAGATTGTGAACTTGTATCAGACGTGTTAGAAGGATCTAGATTGTGAACTTGTATCAGACGTGTTAGAAGGATCTAGATTGTGAACTTGTATCAGACGTGTTAGAAGGATCTAGATTGTGAACTTGTATCAGACGTGTTAGAAGGATCTAGATTGTGAACTTGTATCAGACGTGTTAGAAGGATCTAGATTGTGAACTTGTAGCAGACGTGTTAGAAGGATCTAGATTGTGAACTTGTATCAGACGTGTTAGAAGGATCTAGATTGTGAACTTGTATCAGACGTGTTAGAAGGATCTAGATTGTGAACTTGTATCAGACGTGTTAGAAGGATCTAGATTGTGAACTTGTATCAGACGTGTTAGAAGGATCTAGATTGTGAACTTGTATCAGACGTGTTAGAAGGATCTAGATTGTGAACTTGTATCAGACGTGTTAGAAGGATCTTGATTGTGAACTTGTATCAGACGTGTTAGAAGGATCTAGATTGTGAACTTGTAGCAGACGTGTTAGAAGGATCTAGATTGTGAACTTGTATCAGACGTGTTAGAAGGATCTAGATTGTGAACTTGTATCAGACGTGTTAGAAGGATCTAGATTGTGAACTTGTATCAGACGTGTTAGAAGGATCTAGATTGTGAACTTGTAGCAGACGTGTTAGAAGGATCTAGATTGTGAACTTGTATCAGACGTGTTAGAAGGATCTAGATTGTGAACTTGTATCAGACGTGTTAGAAGGATCTTGATTGTGAACTTGTATCAGACGTGTTAGAAGGATCTAGATTGTGAACTTGTAGCAGACGTGTTAGAAGGATCTAGATTGTGAACTTGTATCAGACGTGTTAGAAGGATCTAGATTGTGAACTTGTATCAGACGTGTTAGAAGGATCTAGATTGTGAACTTGTATCAGACGTGTTAGAAGGATCTAGATTGTGAACTTGTATCAGACGTGTTAGAAGGATCTAGATTGTGAACTTGTATCAGACGTGTTAGAAGGATCTAGATTGTGAACTTGTAGCAGACGTGTTAGAAGGATCTAGATTGTGAACTTGTAGCAGACGTGTTAGAAGGATCTTGATTGTGAACTTGTATCAGACGTGTTAGAAGGATCTAGATTGTGAACTTGTAGCAGACGTGTTAGAAGGATCTAGATTGTGAACTTGTATCAGACGTGTTAGAAGGATCTAGATTGTGAACTTGATTTAACGAGCAGTCCCCTCCTTGATCTCCCCTCCCCTCCACCGACTGGCTTTCTCCAGGCTTTTGCCGTTTTCTAATGGGATGTAATCACAGGGGAGGTAACAACACATCGGAACCGACGCCATTTTTTTCTTAGTACAGCTATAATCACGCCCCTTTTTGTGACGTCACATGCTCGTTAAGGTCCCTGGTCTGGCAAAGTATGGTGTGGCCAATATTGGTGTGGCCAATATTAGTGTGGCCAAGATTAGTGTGGCCAAGATTAGTGTGGCCAATATTAGTGTGGCCAATATTAGTGTGGCCAAGATTGGTGTGGCCAAGATTAGTGTGGCCAATGTTAGTGTGGCCAATATTAGTGTGGTAAATATTAGTCGGGCCAAAATTGTGTAAAATATAGTTTCTTTAGTTCCTGACCTATTGGAGTGGTTGCCCCTGTCCCTGATATATTGGAGTGGTTGCCCCTGTCCCTGATATATTGGAGTGGTTGCCCCTGTCCCTGATATATTGGAGTGGTTGCCCCTGTCCCTGATGTATTGGAGTGGTTGCCCCTGTCCCTGATGTATTGGAGTGGTTGCCCCTGTCCCTGTTATATTGGAGTGGTTGCCCCTGTCCCTGATATATTGGAGTGGTTGCCCCTGTCCCTGATGTATTGGAGTGGTTGCCCCTGTCCCTGATGTATTGGAGTGGTTGCCCCTGTCCCTGATATATTGGAGTGGTTGCCCCTGTCCCTGATGTATTGGAGTGGTTGCCCCTGTCCCTGATATATTGGAGTGGTTGCCCCTGTCCCTGATATATTGGAGTGTTTGCCCCTGTCCCTGATGTATTGGAGTGGTTGCCCCTGTCCCTGATGTATTGGAGTGGTTGCCCCTGTCCCTGATGTATTGGAGTGGTTGCCCCTGTCCCTGATGTATTGGAGTGGTTGCCCCTGTCCCTGATGTATTGGAGTGGTTGCCCCTGTCCCTGATGTATTGGAGTGGTTGCCCCTGACAGATCTCTGCCGATCGTGTCGTCATCAAAGTGTCAAGCAACAAAGGCCGTAGAGAAATGTAAGAGGGGGGGGGGGAGGCGTCCATTTGTCGGGGAGGGGGGGGGGCAATCGAAGGAACAGTCCCGGCATTCTTTGCACCCAACACATTTTTTTGGCCTCGTCGATGGCAGATTTAGATCCATGAGGTGGATGTTTGTTAGATCAATGAGGTGGATGTTTGATCCATGAGGTGGATGTTTGTTAGATCCATGAGGTGGATGTTTGTTAGATCCATGAGGTGGATGTTTGTTAGATCCATGAGGTGGATGTTTGTTAGATCCATGAGGTGGATGTTTGTTAGATCCATGAGGTGGATGTTTGTTAGATCCATGAGGTGGATGTTAGATCCATGAGGTGGATGTTTGTTAGATCCATGAGGTGGATGTTTGATCCATGAGGTGGATGTTAGATCCATGAGGTGGATGTTAGATCCATGAGGTGGATGTTTGTTAGATGTATGAGGTGGATGTTTGTTAGATCCATGAGGTGGATGTTTGTTAGATCAATGAGGTGGATGTTTGATCCATGAGGTGGATGTTTGTTTGATCCATGAGGTGGATGTTTGTTGGATCCATGTGATGGATGTTTGTTAGATCCATGAGGTGGATGTTTGTTAGATCCATGAGGTGGATGTTAGATCCATGAGGTGGATGTTTGTTAGATCCATGAGGTGGATGTTTGATCCATGAGGTGGATGTTTGATCCATGAGGTGGATGTTTGTTAGATCCATGAGGTGGATGTTTGTTAGATCCATGAGGTGGATGTTTGATCCATGAGGTGGATGTTAGATCCATGAGGTGGATGTTTGTTAGATCCATGAGGTGGATGTTTGTTAGATCCATGAGGTGGATGTTTGATCCATGAGGTGGATGTTTGATCCATGAGGTGGATGTTTGTTAGATCCATGAGGTGGATGTTTGTTAGATCCATGAGGTGGATGTTTGATCCATGAGGTGGATGTTTGATCCATGAGGTGGATGTTTGTTAGATCCATGAGGTGGATGTTTGTTAGATCCATGAGGTGGATGTTTGATCCATGAGGTGGATGTTTGTTAGATCCATGAGGTGGATGTTTGTTAGATCCATGAGGTGGATGTTTGATCCATGAGGTGGATGTTTGTTAGATCCATGAGGTGGATGTTTGTTAGATCCATGAGGTGGATGTTTGATCCATGAGGTGGATGTTAGATCCATGAGGTGGATGTTAGATCCATGAGGTGGATGTTTGTTAGATCCATGAGGTGGATGTTTGTTAGATCCATGAGGTGGATGTTTGTTAGATCAATGAGGTGGATGTTTGATCCATGAGGTGGATGTTTGTTAGATCCATGAGGTGGATGTTTGTTAGATCCATGAGGTGGATGTTTGTTAGATCCATGAGGTGGATGTTTGTTAGATCCATGAGGTGGATGTTTGTTAGATCCATGAGGTGGATGTTTGTTAGATCCATGAGGTGGATGTTTGATCCATGAGGTGGATGTTAGATCCATGAGGTGGATGTTTGTTAGATCCATGAGGTGGATGTTTGTTAGATCCATGAGGTGGATGTTTGTTAGATCCATGAGGTGGATGTTTGTTAGATCCATGAGGTGGATGT